GTGTGCCTTGGCAGTCTCTGTTGATGAGTTTTGATCCATATGTTCACCTGGTTTTGTTGTTGTTGTTAAAGACAGATAATAAAACACTCAGGGTTCATGAAAGATATATTAGTAAGGTGAGACACACACAAGGCAGATACTGCGCCATATTTTCCCTTGGAGACTTTTATCTTTGTGCATCGCTAAAACCACGTGGGGAAATAAAGACCATTTGTCCTGCTCCGCCAGCAGAGGTCAGTGTGGAGACAGCTTTCAACAGGCAAAGTTTATTATGTAATAAAATGATTTTAGTCTTTGAAAATTGTTTTTTTCAAGATGTATTTCAAGTTTTTACTTCACTCTGCATTTCCTTGAGATGAATTTGCAGTTATATGATAAGTAAGAGTACCGTAATTACACATCAATATTTGGACGTTTCTGCACAAAAACTACCAGAAACTTTCCCTCGAAAAGGCACTACTCCCTTGAAGAATAATTTGCTTAATGGAAATGAACAAGCCAACACAATCAACTTTCATTTTCACACACTGTGACATTTAGTATCTGCCTTTAACCAATAGTAGTCTCTGAGGCAGGGGGGTCAAACTCAATTTCATCGCGGGCCACATTCGCATAAAGGTTGCACTCAAAGGGCCGGTTGTAACTATATAAATATATAATATATATATAAAATAATGTATTATATTACATCATTGCCTCTGATTTGGATTATTATCGGATAGGATAATAACTTAGTAATTAACTATGTCTGAAAGCAGAAGTCCAGGGCAAATAATTGCAAGTCTCTTCAGTGTGCATGTCACAAAACGAGATGCATTGTGGGACATGTCGTTGATGGGCAACCTGCTTCTGTAAAGTGGCATGTAACCGTATAATAAAAAAGATTATATTCTTTGCAAGCTCTTGCGGGGCCACATAAAATGAAGTCGCGGGCTGGATTTGGCCCCCGGGCCTTGAGTTTGAGACCCCTGCTATAAGGAGTAGTGTAATGTATAATATATGATAGAAAACATCTATGGTCAAAACAAATCAAATAAGCTCAAAAATGACTCCTAGTGCTTTCTTTCGTCTTTTTATCTGATTATTTGACCTTTTTACTTGTTTTTGTATTTTAAAATATATTGTCTCTGTCTTGATTTTCAGTCTAATGGTATTTCTATTGTTTAAAGCTCATGTTTGACTGTTTTGTAGCATTGTTTAGTTGCATCTTAAGTGATAAAAAAGGCATTAAAACAGGTACAGAAAGAAAAACTGGAGACATGTTTGTTCTGTTTCATTAAGCTATCTTTATTTCACATTTATTTGTACACAATAAATACAGTTAAACATCCACGGGTGTAAATACGTCGCTCAGCAGCCTCTGCAGAGCTCCCTTTGTGAGTGTGGGCAGTTTGTCGCTGAATTTCTGATCCAGACTTTAACTTCAGTCCGACCACTGTTTATGTTTTCATCAATACAACAGGGTAAACGCAAACTTCAAAAATAAGTTTGATGTCATTCAGATCTCAAGGAGATCAACGAGAACACAGCAACACGGCTGACAGATATCTCTTTTTCCTATGATCCAATTCCACTTAAACAAAAGGTTTGAATAGTTTTCATTTTTAATCCTAATTCTACAGGAAACAAAAAAAAGCGGTGCTAGTATTTGTACGGATATCCATCTCCAAGCTCTCTGTAAACTATTTCAAAAACACAATCAAAGACACTACAACGGCTATTTAAGGCTAAATAACGCAAGATAAAAGAAAGGAAAGTATTCATACCAATATAGCAGGTACACAAAATATTCAACACACATCCACAATACTGAGAAGGAATAAGAAGACATCAAAAAGTGCTTCACTATGACAGTATACATTTTTTTTTTTTTTTTTAATCGGACAGCTAGCAGCTCAGGATGTTTCCCTCCTTAAAAATAAAGGCAAGTTTCATAAACGGCACCTCAGTGTAAACTGTCACCAACTCGACGAGCAACCGGCAACTTCTACCGGCTGGAATAACATTTCTAGATCTTTATTTTACAACAAAGGAAACGTTAGACTACACAAGCGCGCTCTACGCTTCTCCCTTTAGGACTTTCCTCGCATCGGGTGCAAAGGAAACTAACGTACGTTTGGGAATTAAAAAGGTAAAAGGATTTTGATTTCTAGGAGATTCTCCCTACCGACATAAACGATCTAAACTAAAATTGCCACTTTTCCCTTTGTTGTGTTTTTTTTTCAGAGGAGAGGACCAGCCTCGTCCCGTTTTGATCGAGTGTGTGTGTTTGGAGACTTTTGGTTTC